TTATCTATCTCTCTATTTCATTTATCCCTTCCTCTTATTTATCCCTTCCTCTTATACATTTATCCCTTCCTCTTATATCGTTAATGACGAATAATAACACATTTTCATTAATCACAGACGCATTAATACATTCTTACATACGCTGAATAAATCACAGACGATTTAATTTAATAATAGTAATTTAATTTAATAGTAGTAATTTAATCACAGAAATAATCACAGACGCATTAATACATTCTTACATACGCTGAATAAAGAACAAATACATTAATACATTCTCACATACGCTGAACAAAGAACAATGAACAAGATGAACACCCAGCCCCTAATTCGTCCCACCCGAACGTATATCGTCTTCAGTGAAAGACACGCTTGACAACTGACTCGAAATAACTGACAAATTTGATATCAACTCTCAATATATTGCTCTCCAGGAAGTGTCTATTTACATGTTATTGACGTTACAAATAGACACTGTTTTTTATTTTATTTTATTTTATTTTTTTATTTTTTTATTATTTTTTTTTTACATGTTATTGACGTTACAAATAGACACTGTTTTTTTTTTTTTTTTTTTTTTTTTTTTTTTTTTTTTTTTTTTTTTTACATGTTATTGACGTTACAAATAGACACTGTTTTTTTTTTTTTTTTTTTTTTTTTTTTTTTTTTTTTTTTTTTTTTACATGTTATTGACGTTACAAATAGACACTGTTTTTTTTTTTTTTTTTTTTTTTTTTTTTTTTTTTTTTTTTTACATTTATTGACGTTACAATAGACACTGTTTTTTTTTTTTTTTTTTTTTTACATGTTATTGACGTTACAAATAGACACTGTTTTTTATTTTTTTTATTTTTTGTTTTTTATTTTTTATTTATTATTTTTTTTTTTTAGATATATTTCTTAATTGATCTGATGAAGGGGATGGAGAAGAGGAAGATGGAAAAGGATAGAAAACAGTCAGGAATACGAATAATAATGATGTTAACAATGGCCATGATGAGGCTGATGATAATCCTCATTAGGATAGTGATGATGATGAAAATAATAATGATGACATTAAACGTAATGATAATGATAACAGTGATAAAGATAATGATAATAATAATGACAATGATAATAATAATAATGATATTTATAATAGTGATACTAATGATAATAAATGTGATGATGATAATCATAGTAATGATAATAACAACAACAGCAAAAACAACAACAATAATTGAAATAACTTTAATGATGATAATGATAACAATAATGATAATGATAGTGAATGAAATAATATTAATGATAATAACTGAAATAATATTAATGATGATAAGTGAAATAACACTAATGATAATAAAATGGCCGAGAGATAAAATTATGATAATAATAATGTTTAGAGTAATAACAGTAAAAAGTCAATAATGATGAAAATGATATCAATAATACCAGAAACAATAATGAAAACACTAATAATTATGATAATGATAATGGTGGTATTAGTAATAATAATAATGATAATGGTAATAATGACATAGATTCTAATATTAATGATGATGACGATGACAGTAACATAATAATGGTAATAATAAAGATGATGATGATGATAACAATGATAATAATGATAGTAATGATAAGTGTGAGAATCAAGATGATAATAATAGAATGATAATATATATAATGTTAATTATGGTGATGATAATAATGATAATGATAATATAATGATAATATATATAATGTTAATTATAATGATGATAATAATGATAATGATGATAATAATGATAGTAATTTTAGTGATGATAGTATATTAATAAGTAATGATGATAATAATGATAGTAATTTTAGTGATGATAGTAATGATAATAATGATAATGATGATAATAATGATAGTAATTTTAGTGATGATAGTAATGATAATAATGATAATATGATAATAATATAAATATAATAATATCAATAATAATGTAATTGATAACAATGATAATGAAAATAATAAGAATAGTAATAATGTTAATAACGACAATAATAATAATAATGATAATGATAACAATAATGATGATAATAGTGATAGTAGTAATATGATGATAATGAAATGATCATAATGATAGCAATAATGATAAATGATAATGATAATATTATAATAATTATAAACATGATAATATAATATTATAAATTATAAACATGATAATATTAACAAATAAAATGGCAATAATGATAATTAACATGATAAATAATAACGATAATAATGATAATGATAATGATGACGAGGATATCAATAATAACAGCATAGGATAATATAAGCAATAATAATAGTAATAATAATGATAATAACAACAATGGTAGTAATAGTAGGAAAATTATTATTGATATTAGTAATAATAATAATAGGAAGAAGAATGGGAGAGGAAAAAGAGGAATAATGATAATAATAATGAAAAGGAAGGAGATAAAAAGTGAAAGAAATAAAGACAAAGAGAGAGAGAGAGAGAGGACAGAGAGAGAGAAGAGAGAGGAGAGA